TGACCTGTGCTAGGCTTTGTTGCAGTTGTCTATTACCTCTTTCCTCATACAGTTTCTTCCTTTGGCTTCAAAATCTATTTTTTCTGTTTTTTTTTTTTCCCCCAACATTTTTGTTTCTGGTCAGTTTTTCCTCTTCCTTTCCCTAATCTTTAAATGTTGGAATTTCTCAAGATTCAGTTTTGGACTTTTTCTCATTTTATTCTAGGCAAGCTTATCCATTTTTAGTATATGGTAAGAGCATTTAGTCCCAGGACTTCAAATCCTTTCTATAATATGTGCTGATGTCTTCTGTTTTTTTTTAGGCTTTTGCCTTAGGGCACATGCATTCCCCAAGAGAGACAGAGACAGTGAGAAGGAAAGTGAGAAATCACCCCCAGTGGGGATGGCCATGCCACAATCCTGCCTCTGTTCTCCTAAGATTTTGGGCATGCATGCACATGCGCCCTACGTGACTGTCAAGCTACCAGGTCTAGGACTCAAACCACAGCTGGCCATGTGAGAGACCACCTTAACTACCATGCTACCTGCTGGCCCCTCCCTGTCCTTTTTTGATCACCATAGAATTAGCCTAGTCCTGTTAAGTATACCTTCTAAATATTTCCCAATTTTTTGTCTTTCCTCCTCACCTCTATTTTAGTATAAATGCCTCTGGCATACATTTTCTCTTACATGGACATTCTTCATGTGTACATTTTCTACATTCACTTCTACCCCTGTTCAATTCAGTTTCCAAATAACAGCCATAACATACATATCACAGGGCCAGCCCTACTGTTCATTGGTTGGGTGCTGCACAGAGGCTGGGTCCCACAGAGCCAGCCCTGACCCCTGTATAACTTGAAAAACATGCAGGATTTGTGTGTGTGCCTAGAACTCTGACAGGATAAATTGGAGGAACAATGACTGTGGTTTGACTAGGCCCTGTTAGGGTGCTTTCTTTTCCTTTCTTTTCCTTCTCTTCCCTTCCCTTCCCTTCCCTTCCTTTTTCTTCTCTTCTCTTTCCTTTCCTTTCCTTGAATGATTTTATTTAGGTTTATTTATTTAATGTATTTATTTTAATTTGACCAGAGAGGGACAGAGTGAGAGAGAAAGACAGAGAGAGAGGGAAAATGTAAAAACAAGTCACCAGGTCCGAGACTCACCACAGTCGTCCATGTGGGAGTCCAGTGTCCTTACCCAACACACTACATGCTGACCCTGTAAGGATGCTTTCTAAACAGAATTTTAAAAAATTCATGTTACTGATCTTTCTGGTAGCATAACGATTAAGGTGGCTGGATCCCACATGGCTAACTGTGTGGTTCAAGTCCTGGACCCAATGGCTCAAAAAACATACCAGGTATATGTACCTGCATGCCCAAAATCCTCAGAGGAGAATGGAGGAGAAGGGGATTATGGCATGGCCATTCTTCCTGGGGATATGTTTTCTCATTTTCACTCTCTCTGTTGCTACCTGACAAGTGCACACGCTCCATAACAGATTTTTAAAAAATCATATTATAGGTCATGTCACATAATACACATCATTTTACCCTACTGTTTAAAGCAGACCAATGGTTGACTGTTAGTTTTTTGATTTTTGGTTATTTTCGGTAGGTTTTTGCCTTAAGGTGCATGCATTCACCAGAGAGGGAGACAGAGACAGAGACAGAGAGGGAACATGAGAAATCACCCCCCCCAGGGGGGATGGACACACAACAATCCTTTCTCCTCCCAGGATCTTGGGCACGCACTCACACGTACCCAGCACGAATTTCAAGCTTCTGGGTCTGGGACTCGAACTGTTGATGGCCATGTGGGAGTCCAATGATGTAACCACTACACCATCTGCTGGTCTCGACTGTTAGGTATTTTTTTTAGAGATTTTTCTATAGGGCATGTGTGCTCACCAGAGAAACAAAGAGAGACAGAGAGACAGAAAGCGAGAAACCTCCCTCCATGTGGCATGGCCACACTGCAATCCCTTCTCCTTCATTCTTCTCTTGGGATTTTGGGCACCCATGCACACGTGCTCAGAGTGTTTCAAGCCTCTGGGTCCAGGACTCGAACCATGGCTGGCCATGTGGGAGTCCAGCAACATAACCATTATGCCATCTGTTGGTCCCTGTTAGGTTTTTTTTTAAAAAAAATTATTTTATTTTATTATTTCTTTTAAGTTTGCGATAGGGCACATGTGCTTATCAGAGAGAGAGAGAGAGAGAGAGAGAGAAAATGAGGGAAAAAAGCCACTAAGTCCGGGACTCAAACTCCAGTCAGCCATGTGGGAGTCCAACACCTTAATCACCATGTCTCCTGTTGGCCCCAGTTGACTGTTCTAAGATGAAGTTCACAAATCTTTCTTATGGATGTTTTAATTTCATAAAAGAAGTAAATCTTATATTTAATATTATTATTATTAAAAATGATTTTATTTTATTTATTTATTTAAGTATTATTATTCAATTTGCTATAGAGATGTGCACTCACCAGAGAGAGAGAGGGAGAGAGAAAGTGAGAAAGCAAGCCACCAGGTTTGGGACTTGAACTGCAGTCGACCATGTGGGAGTCCAGTGCATCAACCATCATACCACCAGCTCGCCCCACTTACTATTTTTAATATTCCAAAGGGTGCATGCTCTCATCAGAGAAAGGCAGATAGAGAGGAAGAAGGAAAAATACACCCCAATTGGAGTGTGGTAGCATCAAATCCCTTCTCTTCCATTTCTCCATCCTGTCAGGATTTGAGGCATACACACACACATGTGCTCAGCATGTTTCCCAAGCCACCAGGCCAGGTCAGCCTTGTGGGATCTGCCTTCCTTAACACCACAGGCCTGATCTGGAAATCCTATACTTAGAAATCTGAAAAGAGGGACCAGCAGTTAGTATAATGGCTGTCACCGGACTCCCATGTAGCAGACCACGGTTTGGATCCCGGAC